GTAAGCTATTTTTTATTAATTCGTGTTGTTTTATATCTCTATTTTAATAAATTGTTTAATATTTTTTCTATATAATCTGTTATATAATTGTAGAAATAATAATTATATATTTTCTTGCTAACATACATCAATAAAATAACCTAAACGCAGAGTCATTGTTGTTAATCAGAGCATTAGACCCTTCCTTCTGTGTAGTCATTTTTTCATGTGCTGACCATTAAGTTAAGTGACTTTTCTTTGCCTTTAGAGGCAAGGAAAAGTCACTTAATTTAATGGTCAGCCCTTTCCTTGCCTTGAGAGGAATTTTTTTTGGTAAACTATTGTATGAAATTGGTATCGGTAAAAATATTGTGGAACTGAATATCCAAACGAAATAGAGTCCAGATCTCAAAATTAGGATTAATTAGGATAATCCAAATCTTGTATCTAACTATGTCCTACACATTAGGGTTTTACCCTGGTTTTAAAATTAAAGTGTCATATTTCTAAACATCTCAGATGCTCTTTCACTTTAAACTAAAAATTACAATGACACTCTCATTTTAACACCAGATCAAAACCCTAATGCATACAGAGGTGATCTGTGCGATGGTGGATTAAAGTTTTATTTTGATAGATTTTCATTTTTCTACTTTCTGTTTATCTCTTTATCTCTGATTACTCTTGATATTTGTTTACGCAGGTGCAGCAATAAAACCATCCCCAAGCGACAATCAGTCAACCGGACAAGATGCTGCCAAAATGGCCACCAAGTTCAATCGACATGGATGGTCTCGAAAAAATTGCTAGGAGAGGCGTAGAGAAAAGTTCTTTAGAAGACATTTAATTTTTATATTAAATGTAATGAAGTGTTTTTTATAATGTGTTTATTTTCTTTTTTACATTGTTATTTTATTGGATATTGGTTGAGAATATTTATCGAATAAATTTCTTTTATATGACTTATGTTTTTTGAATTTTATTTCAAGCAAATCCGCATTCCTTTTATTTTGAAAAGATTATTTTGAAAAGAAATTCAGTGTAATATTCTATGTATTACAAGTTTGTTAGCATGGAAATGACAATTCTAATCTCTTGTTGCCAAAAAAAATGTGTGAATATATAAAGTGCCAAGAATAGCCAATATTAGGCTTGTATTGGCCGATTTGGGGTTGAATTAGTCAATATTGGGCTTGTATTGATCAACGTTGGGCCAGTATTAACCTACATCGCCCCATTAATGGTCGATGTTGGGCCATAATAAGCTAATCAAAACCAATAATGGCCCATTATTAGAGCCATGATTTATTCAGCAATCGGCCAATGTTTGCCCAATAAAGGCCCAATTTGCGCTCCCCAATATTTGCCCAATGTTTGCGGCCATTATTTGCCCAATATAGTAGCCAATAATTGCCCAATCATGGCCCAAGGAATTTGTGCTCTCTGGGTATTATTATTCAAAAATAAAGTTTTTCAAAATTATGTAATGTAGGTACTCAAATAAAGCGAAATTTTATAAAAATTTCAAAAATAATAATTTTTTCATATACAAAGATTTTATTGCATAATAACTATAGTTTTTTAACTAAAAGTGAAAAAAGGTGCATTTTAACATGTTTTTTAATCACAATTTTTTTTTGCAATATGATTTTAATAAAAATAATATATATATATATATATTTTTTAAAATTTTTTGCAAAAATTTTAAAATATATATATATATATATATATATATATATATATATATATATATATATATATATATATATATATATATATATATATATATATATATATATATATATATATATATTATATATATTATTATATATATATATATATATATATATATATATATATATATATATATATATATATATATATATATATATATATATATATATATATATATATTATATATATATATTATATATATATTATTATATATATATATATATATATATATATATATATATATATATATATATATATATATATATATATATTCAAAATTGTTGCTTTTTTATTGTGTTATTTTACGCGATTAAAGTAGAGATAATTTTTTAGTTAATTGATTTTTAACCAAAATAAAAAACAAAAATCAACGTCGAATTTATGTTGTTTCGACGTTGTTCTAGCGTCATATCAACTACGTATCAACTGAATATCACCTATTCAAAGTTAAAACATGATTGATATGTAGTCGAAAGACGATAGAACAACGTTGAAACAACGTTATCATCGACGTTGTTTCAACGTCGTAGTTTTTAACGTCGGATTTTGTTTCCAAATCCACCAAATTTCATCGTTGTTTCAACGCGACATATGGTAGGTTTGCGACGTTGTTTCAACGTTACTTCAACGTTATTGTGCCTGCTGGGAATAGAATGTCATTGTTTATGAAAGGATTTAAAAGGTAGTTTTCAGAACCAAGAGTGGCCTTGTAACTAACAGCTTTTTCGAAATGCTTGATGAAAACCTCTTTAGGGTAGCCACGGCAGTCCAGCATCACTTGGTTTACAGCATCAGCCTGCCATCAGTAAGAGTTACCAAGGTCTGATCTCTTAAAAGTACATAGTATTATTACAATCTATATTTACTATAATCAGTTGATTATTAGTATTTCTGTAGCCTTACATAAATATTATACAACTTTAAAAGCTTAAACAACGCATTTAGTAATGAGGTTTTAAATATATTTTCTTATTATTTTGTTACCTTTATAGGTCCACGCAATTTGCCAGTATTGCTTCTTGTAGTATCAAAGCAGATAACGTGCACATTTTCTGCTATGCCCTACTTCTTCGAAAGTTCATTATTTGGATTAAACTGGTTTAGGCCAGTGATGGACTCAATATTTGGTGCACCTAACAGAAGAATCTTATGATAAAAACTTACAAGTATACAAATTCTGTCCTAAGCTTTGTCACAATGTTCAGGTATCAAGTAATTTATTATTTTTCTATCAAATTGTAATTTAAGCATAAGATTCTTATGGATGATGTGGTACTGCAAAAACTTTTTTAAATTTTCAAAATTGTCTTTTATTTTATTTTTCACTCTAAATGTGCTTAAATATGAAAGAGGCAGCTTATCAGGATTACCCTCCCAATTACCAACATTGTTAGGGGTAGCAGTGATAATATTAGCTGATATGTTGGCTTTCAGAACTGTTCTCGTTGTGTTATAAATGTTGTCTTTGCTAACTTTATTATGTTGAGAAAGAACATTTATATATATATATATATATATATATATATATATATATATATATATATATATATATATATATATATATATATATATATATATATATATATATATATATATATAGCCAGATGAACATCAGGGATCCTAGAATAAATTTCTCTTTACCCTGCTCTGTTAGTGTGGTACATACTATTATGTTTAAAAAACAAACAATTGTTTAGTTACCAATTTGTAAAAATTATCATTCAAATCATAATTATAAATTGAAAATTATATCGTAATATATTTTATATTTCAGAACCAAGATCCTATCTTGCAAGATTCAATGAGTTTCCAATTTGTTCTGTGGCTTCTTTTCCAAGAGAAAATAGAAAGTGTTTAATAATTAATAATACAATGACATGACTATTAGAAATAACCAATAACCTAGCTAAGATTTAATCAGGAAAAAAAGTCTTTTAAACGTTCAAAAGACGTTCAGAATGTTCTGAAGACGTTTACAAAACGTCTTTTTTTTATAGACCATATGTTGGCTGAAAAGGGTGAAGGGAGCCCCCCTCGCTCTCTTTTTAAAAATGGTTTTTCAGAATACTCTGTAATTTATTATGTTTCTATGAACTTTTCAAGCCCACTTTTAAAATTAAAGCTCTGTCTTTATCAGAAGACTTTCCACCAGAAAAACATGGATTTTATTAATTGATTGCACCTGGTAAAAGGTGTTCACTATGGTTGCAGGGCTGGCGCAAAGTCTGATAATAAACTTACAATGATAATTTTCGGCATAAATCTTTTACATAACATAAACATATTCATTTGTTAAAATACTAACTCCTTTTTTTTTTTTTTTGTCCAGGTATACTATGCAATATAAAGGAAATGTTTTTTTTTAAACTTGATGAGGCAAGCGCAAGGTAAAAAAATAATTAAAAATAAAAAACATTTTGTATTTGTTTATTTTTAATTATTTAGTGAAAATTATATAGAATACCTTTAAATTTCATACGTTTTATCTGTTTTTCGACCAATTTTGACTAAATATTGAACTTTTCTAGACGTGTATGTGTTAACTTGGATGAAACTTATGTAACTAAACTATTTGTTTTAGGTAATAGAAACAGTGTGTGCAGAATCAACGTCTAGATTTTTCTCGTTTTATGATAAAGTTTTTTTGCTTTAGTTTTTTTAAATTAATTTCTTCAATAAGTTCTCAAAAAAAATGTACAAGATTGATATAAAAAAAATTGTTAAAAGAAAAAAAAAAATCGCTCTAGGGAGCAAGTGAACCCACCTGCAGTATTACAAAAAAATAATTGTTTTTTATTAACTATTTACTTGGAAAAATCAGATATAAATGAAAATGGAATTAAAGTTTAGTTTGATTACAATTGCGTTTTCAAAAGTAACATTTACCATTATTTTAGCAAAACAAAAAATTGTATTAAAGTTAGTTTTTTTTTTAGTTTAAAATATTCATTACGTGTTGAAATATAAACAAAAAAAAATCTTCAGTAATTAATTTCAATCATTTAAAAATATTTGTGGAACTTTTCATAAGATGTATCATGGTAATAATTTTCTATATAAGATTCGTCTTTGGAATAAATTTTTTTCCTTATTTAAACTCATTTTTGGATAAGAAATCCAAAATTATCATTATAAAAGATTCAAATTCTGATTTATTCCAAAAAAATATTAAAAAAACAGATTTAAGAGACTATGTGGATGTTAGCAATCTTTTCCAAAATGAAACCTACGAAAGTGAAAAGCTTATGGTATTCACATCGTATAATTATACAACGTTGATAGAAATAATGTTACATTTGATTCTTGATCAATCATTTCAATCAAAGGTTATTACCAGTCAACTAGCATTACTTACTGATGTTAATGAAGATTTGACATCTATAATATCAAAAATTATTGTACCGTATAAAAACATTTTGCTTTTTGATTGTAATAGCAACAATTATAAACTGACTTATGGTAATAATTCGGTAGGATATTATTATAATTCTCATAAAGATTCATTTATTGAAATTGTTGCGAACTTTAATGTCACAAAATATACTTTTGTTATTATTACTACAGATGTAAATGAAATAGAAAACTATGACATTTTATCATCTATGAATGAGTATGTAAATAGCACTGAGTTTTGTTTAGAAGAGTATACCGTTCACTACCTAAATACATCTTATATGACTGCTATTGCAAAAAAGTTAGGTCCGTATGTTAGAAATATTTTTGTAACTTTTAATTCTTTAGATGGCTTTCTAAGTTTTTTTCAGATATGCACAAAAAACAATGTAACATTTGGTAGGGTGATTGGGAATACCATATTTGAAAATTTTTTTGGAGATATATTAACATATTTTTGGAGTCATTCAAAAATGGATACAGAATTCTATTTTTATCCTCAAACTTTGAACTCCTTAGTAAATATTGCGTCATACGACGTTATCAATTTGATAAGATTAGTTTACACGGGAACAGAATACAGTAATTTTATAGATGATCGCTTTAAATTTTATAAAGATTTGTATTTGAATAATAAACTATACTTTTTGTGCATGGTCCCCAACCGTGATAGTTACTTCCCTAGCTACTATGGGTGTATTTTTAGAATGAAAAGTCATTTCGATTATGAAGCTTTAGATACAAAAAAGCAACTACTAACTAAATGTAATATCATATGCCCACCCGCTTTTGAACAAAAACTTTTACTTATGATATCAAATGAAGAAAAAATGCAAAGTCGTATTTGCACCAGTTGCCAAGTAAATTATTTTAAAAATAGCTATGGAACAAACAAATGTGAAAAATGTTCTTTAGGTTATACTTCAAATAAAAACAACACAGCCTGCTTACTAACATTTGGTGCGGATTTAACTTTTCATTGCATTGAAGGCATCATAATTACTCTAATAGCTACTATTTCTACCTTGATCGGTTTAACTATAGCACTAACATTTATATTAAATAGAAATACACCTGTTGTAAAATCATCAAACTTTGTTTTTTCATTAACTCAAATACTTTGTTATATGTTAACTTCGCTTCTTATTCCACTTCTCTACGTCTCTAACAATGAATTATTTTGTTATTGGCGAAGTCTTATAATCAGCTTCCTGCTTATTACTGCAACATCAATTACTTACATCAAAACAAGAAAGTATATTTATATTTTTAAAACTCTCATTCGTTTTTCTAAGAAAGAAAAGATATTTTCAACATCAATTGATATTATGATGATGAGTTTTATTTTGATTGTGCAAATTTTGTTAGCAACCATTTTACTTATTAAATCACCGCCAGTTGTTATCTCTTATTTAAACTACGAGAAAAAAACTATAACTTTTCAATGTACTGGAGATTCTCAATTGAACCCTCAAGTTATATATATTGGTTTTATGTTGCTGATTTGTTCTATTCAAAGTTTTTATGCTCGAAATCTTCCCTCGTACTATAACGAGACACTTTCTATCACTTACAGTACAGGAGTATCATTCTTATTGTTAATTTGTTACTTTCCTCTTTACTATGGTAACAAGGACATCAAATCGAGAACCACTGCAATTTCAATTTTGATTTTAACAATTAACCTTATTTTATTAACAGTATTGTTTACACCAAAAATAATTGTAATTTATTTTAAACCTGAAATCAACAGCAAGCGTAGTGTTCATGTGGAAATGATGAAATATGCTCAATCAAATTCTGCAAATTCTTTATAACAAAAACTTTATTAACAAGTATTTCACAACTCCTAATATTAATACTAAATTGTTTATTTTTAGTTTAGTTGTACTAATAATTTAAATGTTAAAGTTTTTTTAAAAAAAATTAAATTATTTGTATCAGAATTGATGAAAGTGATTAAACAAATGCAAATTGAAAGTAATATTTATTATCTATTGAAATTAAAATTTACAACTGATCAGCTTAAAATTAAAACTACCCAGATAACTCCCCTGACAACAAGCTTACATTGTCCCAACGTAAGTTTAAACATTGGGAAATTTATTCCGTTGGGCCAACATTTAACATTAATTAACATTTATATAATGAGGTATGTTATGTTTTGTGATATGTTAAACAATGTGCTATGCTACATGCTATGTTATGTGTTACGTTAAAAAACTACATCATATGTTAGTACTATACAACCTATATCATCAATCTAATAATAAAGGTTCCTTTACGAATTACTGCATTGCACAATTATTTTTTATTTTTCTTTGGTGCATAATTATACAAACAAATAATTGTTATTTGTGTATCATACATTTTTGTTTTAATTTAACTATAAATTTCAATTCAGTGATGAAAATCTTTTGTTTACATACAATATTGGGCCAATGTTGTGTACAATCTTGGGTCAATGCCTAAACAATAATCAAACCTGCATTATGCCAACATCAAATTTTAACGTTGGACCAATCAATCTTGGTATCTGGGATAGATCAAGCTACAAAAATAATTTTCCAGCCATTTGCTCATAGTAAATGACCCTACCCCCACCATAAATGCGATCAACTCTGCAGATAAAAGCAGTAAATAATGATGATAAATAATGATGATAAATCATAAAGGAGAATATATAGCAAAGGATACCAAGAATCCGATTAAAGAAATTTGGTCCATATAAAGTTATTTCACATGTACCTAATAATGCTACTAACATGAAGAAAAGTTACAAAAAGAATATCTAGATATTGTTACTAACGAGTGTGCTGCACACACAATCACCGAGCTTGTAAAATATTTTTTTATTTTAGAGAGAATTAGTGAAATTTAAAGTAATGACAAAATGGTTATCTCTTTTTTCAAAGATAGAAATATCCTGTGCAAGCACTTTAAAAGAAAAATATGCATGAAGATGCTACTTTTAAAAAAAACTCGAGTTTTTATGTGAGAATCTTTTTTGTACTCATTTGAAGAATGTGTAAAAAGAGTTCTCAAAAATAAGAGTGTTTTGAAGTGACAGTGAAGTCTTGAACTTGCTTCTACATGTCTTTTTGTAAATAATCAATAAAGAAAGTTAAATTAAAAAATAGTTTTTTTTTTGTTTCTAATTGATAATGATTCTTTTAGAAAAAATTTAGAGAAAATTGTGAACGTTTAAAAACCAACATCAAAAATAATTGAACAGTTGTAAGGCAACCACTGCTTTTTTTTACATAAATATTATTAATAAACGGTATGTGGACTTTCCTTCACACTGAGTCAATAAATTTTAATTACTTTTTTGACCAAAAAACTAAAACTAGGAAAGGTTTGAATAATTATAATGATAATGCCAACCTTTTAAAACAATTTAATCTTAAAAAAAAGTTAAGTTATTTTGAAAAGATTATCCAAATAGATAAAAAAAATATTTATTATGGAAACTGAAAAGCCCAAGCCAGGAGGTTGCTGAGTATTTTGCAAGAAATCTAACAACTACGTACTGGTTGAAAGTGAGATAAACAAGATTTGTTATTTTAATTAATTTTTTCTATTCCTTTTTCCCAGGTAGCAGCGGAGAGAGACTCTAAGATCTATGGCTTTATCTTAATTGAAGAAAGCGTTTTTTTTCTTCAAAAGTTAGTGCTAGTATATAAAAGTGCTAGTATATAAAACATTGATTTTATTGAAAATGACAATGATTGGTCTTGAGAGCTATTTTGTTTTTTCAGATGAAGAATCTGGTTAAAAAATTCTTTTAGTAAAAAAATTTAAGTATCATTTTTCTTTTTCTCCTCTAAACCTTTTTACTAAACATTCTTTACTTTTGTTAAACAAATGTAACACCTACATGCAAAATTGTAAAGAATTCAACAATTTAAGTAATGTAGTGAACCTTAGCTGTTATTATTTGCAATTTTCAAAGGTTTTATTTTTATTAATTGAATGCTGTTTGTTTGAATATTATTGTTGAATTTTTATTATTGCCGAATTGTTGTATAATATTATTGTTTTAAATATTAATTGAAGAAAATTTGATTAAATTTGACAAAGATTTGTATTTTTTAAACTCTGTTTATTATTAACTAGTACATTCACATAGTTGAAGCAAAATCCATAGCAACACATACTTTTTATAGAATGTCTAGAGTTAAGCCAACGTTATGGTCAAGTTATTGTCAATAAAAAATAAGAATGCATACTTGTGTTAAAAAAAACTTCACGTTTTGACGTTGAGCTCACCAATTTAAACAAGTGTACTTTTACCAACATAAGTGCTGTCCCTTAATTTCGTCAACAGTTTTGTGGCCCTTTTTATCTCCCCCCTTGTTAACGGCTTGTCAAACTTTAAGAGAACTCCTCTCCTATAAAATTACGTCAACATTTAATTACTCTACCTCCCCCCTTTCTCCCCCTACGGATTAAATTAAAATGGAAAATAAACAACATTTTTTTCAATTAGACTAGTTTACAACTAAAATAAAAAATTGATTAAAATTAAAGTGCTCAGAAAAATAACCAAATTCAAATTTTAACTTATGAACACATTTCAAATGAAACTATTCAAATTTTAACTTATAAACACATTTCAAATGAAACTATTCAAATTTTAACTTATAAACACATTTCAAATGAAACTATTCAAATTTTAACTTATAAACACATTTTAAATGAAACTATTCAAATTTTAACTTATAAACACATTTCAAATGAAACTATTCAAATTTTAACTTATAAACACATTTCAAATGAAACTATTTATATTTTAACTTATGAACACATTTCAAATGAAACTATTCAAATTTTAACTTATGAACACATTTCAAATGAAACTATTCAAATTTTAACTTATGAACACATTTCAAATGAAACTATTCAAATTTTAACTTATGAACACATTTCAAATGAAACTATTCAAATTTTAACTTATGAACACATTTCAAATGAAACTATTCAAATTTTAACTTATGAACACATTTCAAATGAAACTATTCAAATTTTAACTTATGAACACATTTCAAATGAAACTATTCAAATTTTAACTTATGAACACATTTCAAATGAAACTATTCAAATTTTAACTTATGAACACATTTCAAATGAAACTATTCAAATTTTAACTTATGAACACATTTCAAATGAAACTATTCAAATTTTAACTTATGAACACATTTCAAATGAAACTATTCAAATTTTAACTTATGAACACATTTCAAATGAAACTATTCAAATTTTAACTTATGAACACATTTCAAATGAAACTATTCAAATTTTAACTTATGAACACATTTCAAATGAAACTATTCAAATTTTAACTTATGAACACATTTCAAATGAAACTATTCAAATTTTAACTTATGAACACATTTCAAATGAAACTATTCAAATTTTAACTTATGAACACATTTCAAATGAAACTATTCAAATTTTAACTTATGAACACATTTCAAATGAAACTATTCAAATTTTAACTTATGAACACATTTCAAATGAAACTATTCAAATTTTAACTTATCAACACATTTCAAATGAAACTATTCAAATTTTAACTT